TGGAGTATTATCACCCCTTATGTGGAGTATGGTAGTGGATGAACTATTGGTAAAACTGGACAGGAATGGCTTCCAAATCCAGGGGTACGCCGATGATGTGGTAATTATCTGCAGAGGAAAATATGAGAGTACTCTGTGCGAAAGAATCCAGTTAGGCTTAAAACTAAATAAAGAATGGTGCAATTCGGTTGGGCTGAAAATAAATCCAGCAAAAACAACCATTGTGCTATTCACTAAGAAATACAAAATAAAAAACCTTAAACCCATCCGCTTAGATGGGTTTGAAATAAAACTACAAAAGGAGGTAAAATTTTTGGGTATAATTTTAGACCAAAAATTAACATGGAAATCTCATATCCAAGAAGTGACAAAAAAGGCAACCAAAGCCTTTATGACATGTAGATCCATCGCAGGTAAGAATTGGGGATGTACACCAAAGTCACTGCGATGGATATACACAGCAGTAATCAGACCAATGATCACCTACGGATCAATAGTCTGGCAGAACTGCACAAATCAACAAAGCGTTATCAACACACTCAACAAGGTACAACGACTTGCATGTGTAAGCATAACAGGAGCAATGAGAACATGTCCCACGTCATCAATTGAAGTACTCCTGGAACTTACTCCTCTTCATATCTATGTGCAATCACAGGCGAAGAGGGCTGCTCTAAGAGTAAATACAAATAAGGTGACTGGTCTTGAAACCAATAGCAAAAAACTTGATACTTTGGCTGCACAAATCCCAGAAATTGAAATGCCAATGGACAGGATGATTGTAAAGCATAACTTTACAAAAAACTTCAAAACTGAACTTGGCAACAAAAAGAACTGGGAAGGTTTGTCTAACATCCCAAAAATAAAAGAAACCATGATAACATGGTATACAGACGGCTCTCTCACCAATGAGGGAGCTGGAGCTGGTGTTTATGGACCAGGCAAAAAATACTGGGAAGCATTAGGAAACAATACAACCATCTTTCAAGCGGAAATATACGCGATAGATAGATGCGCCAGTTTCAATATTGAACGTAACTACCGGAACCGTAAAATTGCAATACTGACTGACAGCCAGGCAGCTATAATGGCACTCATATCTTACCAGGTAACAACCAAACTGGTATGGGAATGCATTGACAAGCTGAACACACTCGGTGGGATCAATCAGGTGCACCTTTTATGGATTCCGGGACATACTGGTATCCAAGGTAATGAAATAGCAGACAAACTTGCAAGAAGAGGCGCGGCATCAAGAATGATAGGCCCAGAACCATTCTGTGGTCTAGGCAAAGGAGCTATATCCATTATCATGAATGACGCAGAGAAAAAAGAGAGAGAACTCTATTGGTTAATGCTACCAAGACTCTCACAATCTAAAATGCTTTTAGGGACTTACAACCTAAAACGCTTTAAAGATTGCATAGTGCAATCAAAGACTAACATAAGAATTATTACGGGTTTACTGACCGGTCACTGCAGATTGAATAATCACCTATCGAAGTTAGGAATTCAATCCAACTCAGACTGCAGATACTGCAGGGAAGAGAGAGAAACGGCATACCATGTGCTTGGGGAGTGCCCGGCACTGATGCATAAACGAAAGAAACACCTAGGAGGGTATTTCATGGATCATAAGGATTCAAGACTGGAAAAGATAGGATCCATACTGTCTTTCATTAAAGAAATCGGACTTGGAGAAATACTCTAACCCGACAAAGGGGCACAATAGATCTTTTAGGTCGCAGTGCACGATCCCTTACTCAATAATAAAGGTAATTTGTTTTAAAATAAGTTATATGATAATTATTAAAGAAATTGCTCTAAAAAATCAATAAAATAATTAATTAATAAAAATTAATTTTAATTTTAAGTATTAGATATCAATTTTTAATACATTTTATTATTTATTTAGATTTTAGTGTATATGAAAACTATTTAGTATTTTCATATCAAACCAGAGTTCTATATGTTACATATACATTCTTATTAATCAATAGTCGTATTCAGAATGGAACCAGTGTTCACTATAATGTTAACTAAAAGCAGAACTTAGTCGACAAGAAGAAATTACTTCCTTAATTTATATTAGCGTATATAAACCGAGTGTTCAGCGGTATATTTGAGCCGCTGTATCAACTGTCTGGAGCAAATGCTAGCAGTTTCAACATCACCATGGCATGATTGGAGGCCTCGTTGTAACTAAACTTTTTGTAAGGTACCAGCCCTAGTTATGGGTCTATCATTCGTAGGTACTGAAAATCATTCAATGCAAGCATTCACAAGAACAATAAATCGGCCTTATGAAATTGTTGTTAACTTAAGGAATGTTTAAATGACTAGATTAGCTCAATGGAATGTTCGGACTTTGTTTCAAACAGAGAAAATGGCTATGTTAGCTGCTAAATGTGAAAGACTGAAAATATATGTTATTGGCAAAAGCGAAGCAAGGTGGAAAGGTTATGGTGAATTTATAAATCAAAGTGGAGGAGTGATAATATACTCTGGAATGACTGATGAAAATCATGTTCATATACTTGGTATAGCTGACACACAAAATATAAAAGTATCAATTTTAAACTGGAAAGCTGTATCCGATAGAATAATATTAGTACGCTTGCGTGCTAAGACGTGTAATATCTCACTCGTTCAATGCTATGCTGGAAATATATGCTATCACACGTTCCTAGAACAGATGTGGTCATGGTAACGGGTGATTCTAATGCTCAAATTGGTAGTGATAACTCAGATTATCGAGATATTATCGGCACCCACGTTTTCAGAACATGTAAAGAAAATGGAATTGAGCATTGATGTAATAACCCCTATATAATGATTAAAAGGTTTATATATCTTTTATCTTTAAAGGCTATGGTAAATTGTAGTTTCATTCACTTGTTTAGAATATTTTTAAAAAAATCCTTAATCTTATATGGATTGCCTTACTAAATAAAATTCGCAATATTCAATACGAAGCCCATAACTACAGGGATGCACTCTGTTCAGTTTAGCTTAAATATATATTTTAAATAAGTAAATATGTAAAAATCAAAGTGCCAGCTAATACGTAAGTGGCATCTAACGTCCACACATATATTTTAAATATTAAACTGAGGAGCGATAACGAGCTATATGAACGAGTTAAGATAATTTTAAGTATATGTATGTAATAATATAATTTAAAAATCAATCACCATTTCTGCTACTATATCACTTCAATATGTAATTATTTATAATGGGTTTAAAAATTATTACTTACTTGCGCCATTGTTTGTATATGACATGGATTCATTACAAATATCACAGATTTACTGGACAATTTATAGCCCATTTCAACGCCAAATATAAAAGTCATAGAGATTAACAACAGTAGTCGTATCACTGTGTGTGGTTTATCGATCTCTTTGGGTGGAGGCAATAAAATTGGTTTTAAACGTTTCACAGCCCAACATATTATGTATATAAAAATTATTGTAAAAATAATGGACTCTATCCAACGTCTACGATTTGTCATGTAATTGATGCATTCAGGTCCTGTCGTACGTGGCGTCTCTTCGGTTACACCCTCCACAGCCCAACTCCAATCCATTATCCAGCACAGTAGTTGATATTCAAATGAGGTAAGTTTACTTTTAAAAAATTTTTCTTTCTTTATGTAATATTATGTATATTATATAATAAACATAAATTAGTTGTAGCTCGAAAACCGGTCGTTGTAGGTTCAACCAAAAATGAACAGAACTTATGTAATCTCAAAATATAAGTTATTTCTGAAAAATAAGAAAATTGCATTCAGTCGTACTTGTAAAATAAGATAAATTCATGTAAATAATGCGTTGTAGAATAGAACGAGTAAAGATGCTATGTGATAACGAATGAAATATGCTCTGAGCAGGACAGGGCTGTCAACAAATAACATTCGATTTATCTCAAGGGTCATTCTTGTGTATCAATTTATTTATTTTGGTTGCTTGCCAAAACTGGCAAATCGTCGTCCCGCAATAAGCCTACAATCACGACATGAGCACAAATCAATTCAACATTTTACAACGTGTTTATTCATAGATTCTGATTTTTTTGTTTTAAATAATTTAAGTGAAAAGTTAGTTGAAATATGCCTGGCTTATAAAACATAATTCACAAAATATTACTAGAAAATCATTTTAAAAGAATTTATTTATTATTTTTTATATAAAAAATGAACTGTAGAGATTTTAATTAAAATTTTGAAACATGATTTAGTAATAATGATAATAATAAGAATAGATAACAAACAGATTGCTTTCTTACAGTCTGTCTATACTAGATACCGAAGATGGACTTTTTGATTAGTACCTGGACATATAAGGAAACAAAGGTTAGAGTACCTTATCTCATTTTGGCAACTTGGTGGCATCAAAATAAACAAAAATGGAAGTCTTGCTATTTATATTAATATGCGTTCTCTATTAATCTAACCGAATCTATGGATTTATATCTATGGACATCTATGGATTTACATGATATTAAAATTGTAAAGGTGCAATGCAGTTACGGACAAGAATAGCATAGCTCTTGAAACCAAAGAAAATGAATAGAAAACTGCTATTCACGAATTATGAACTCGGCGGTGCGGAAATAGATGATGAAACTAATTTGTTTAAGATACTGCATGCATTCTACAAATGAAGCAAAATATAGAGTACCTGCCCTGAAGTTATATGCGAAAGTTGACAGGCTATCCTACTTACCACTATCTAATCTTAAAGTAATCACTCTCCGCACGGGGAGGTACGCAGATCTTAGATCAATCACTGAAGCTTATAGGGAATACATAAATTAGTCAATGAGATGGGTGGGACCCTGTAGTACCCCCAGCAATCAAAGAGTAAAAGTGCCCAGTTGCGCTGACTCAAAAAAAAAGGATCAACATATAGACTACCTGTAATTAAATAGGCTAACTTAGCTTCGTATATCACTGTGTCTTTATGAATAAAGTTCTGAAAAAGTGACCTGATATAGAATAACTGATAAATTATAAACGATTATCAGTCGGTGCAATTTCAAAAATTTTTTGCCGAACGCTATAAATAAAGTAAGGAATTTCAGGTGAAGATCAGAAAGCAAACCTGTCGCCATTAAAAACAAATTTAAACAATCGAAGCCACACACACTCATAATGGAAGATAGCAACTTAAAAATAATAGAACCATAACGGAACGAGTATTAAGAAAGAAATAGACTCAGATCACAGGTGATCATAACAACAAATATGATATTTAGCTGCAAATAGAAATTAATGGATGAACTTTATGTCTGCCCAGTGCAAAGACACTAGATCAAAAATAATTTTATATTAAGAATATATTATATTCTTATTATATTTAAAAATTTTATTCCATATTTAGTTTTTTGTTTGATGTTAAGTAGTGAAACATATATTGAATTTCTTTCTTTCTGAGCCTTTTAGTCAGAGCTGGACCAATGTTTTTTCAAGTAGTTTTTTCCATTGCAATCTTTTCGTCGCTTTTCTGTTTTAGATTTGGTCTTAAATTATTGAATACTACATCCAACTATCCTTTTTGTACCACTCTGCGTTGTGTTTTGACGTAATCTATTACGCTTTGATCCTTTATTGTTAGTTCTGTCTCATTCCTGCATCGAATTTGGAATGACCATCGGTTGTATACAATTACCGTTTGTTTGCAAGATCTTGCATTCATTCTCGAGAATCTATGAAATTATATTACTAATTTTCAGTATCCAGACTTTACATTTATAGGAAAAAGTGGGTTTAAAAACTGTTCCGTCGATATGATTGAAATAAAGTATCAGTCAACATCAACAGCGTGCAAACTGTATCAACTTGTATGGTACAAAATTATATTATATTTGATCACTGAAAACGACATTAGTTTTCAGTGATGCCAGAATTGGTTGCAATAGTTAATGAGATGATCATTACTATTATCTTATTATTTAGTTATATTTTTGTCTGTTTAATAAATGTAAGTGGTACAAAAGCATTAAAAGTCTTTTTTGCAAATGATAAATATTTTTTTATTCAAAATATGTGTGTGGGCCTTAGACCTTTTTATATACTATAAGTACATAAAACTTCAAATTTTATTATTCTACGTGTTGTGGTTTTTTGAGATATTTAAAAAATAGGAAGGTTGATCATGTTTGGGGTCAATGACCCGATGCAACCAAAATACAGTCAAAACAAAGCTCATTTTAATTACTACACTTAATGTCTTTACTAGTTCAGAAAACCCGAATTTTGACCACACCCTGAGTTTATATAGGCAGTTTTAGTTGTCGTCAAAGAAATAACAGATTCTTTACTTAATAAATTTGTGTTCAAGTTGTTTTTTAAATAATTTATTATCTCTTTATACTTACATAAGTACATAAATGAAAAAAAATTTTTAAATATACATTTATATAATTTACAAATCCTGTGAAAGCACTTCGTATACTAGTCAATTTTTGTCGTGGGCATAGTATATTCTGCAGTTAAAGTACTTGGAGGCATATTGAGAGCTTCTTGTTGTAGCAATATTGTATGATCCACCAAAGCTTCTGGTGGCAAAATATGCGCATGCCTTTGACGGTGGGTTAGTATATTATCACTTGGAGCAACTCCATAGTCCGCTACTAATGATATATCACTCAAAGACTTTTGATGATGATACAACAATCCGTAATCTGGAGCATGCTGACTTCCAGTGGAAATATATACCTCCGGTGGTAATTGAGCTCTACTTTTAGCACTTCTAAATAAAAACACAGTTACTTTATTGAGCAACGAACAAAGTATTGTTTGATGTATCACAGCAGCAAGACGGTAATATACTCCATCGAATGGATCTAACACAGCAGCACACAGCATGTGACTTAAGTTGATGCCAGTGTACTAAATTGATAAATTATTCTTACTAATTAAATATATTCTTGTATTTCAATAGATTTTAGAGTCTTACAATTGACAATGCATTTAATATTAAAAAATGATACAAAAACATCATAGCGACACCAATTGCTACCCAATTGTAATCGGATAAGTCTTCTATTGTATGTGCACCTATCGAAAAGGAATTATTTTGTTGGAGTTTTTTTATATTTTAAATAACACATACCACTTTTAAGTATATAAATAGGTATAAGATACAGTAAGAAATGCTGTACCCAGTATGTAGCCTGTTCCAGCGGCAAAGTTCGACACTCCACTTCTGGAAATAGTATAGCTAAAAACGGACCATTTAAGTTGTTCATTTGTATGCGAAATAAAGCTGTTGTTACTTTGCTAGGCTTTGCCGCTAGTAAATATATCTAAAATTATGTCAATTACACAATGGAAGTTAGAGAATGATCTAAGTAAGATACGCATATGATTGAACGACTTACCTGTATTAAGGTTTGTACATGACATGGATTCATTACAAATATCACTGTTTTACTTGCAAATTTGAAACCCATTTCCATACCAAATACAAACGTCATTAGAATAAGCAATATAAGTCGGATTGCGGAATGTGGTTTATTTAATATTCTTGGATGTGGTAGAAATATTGGATTCAAACGTTTTGTAGCCTTAAGTATTATATATATAAATACAATTGTTAGAAATATGGACTCTGTCCAGCGTTGTATATTTGACATGCGATTAATGCATTCTGGTCCTGTAACTCGCGGTATAGCATCGGTTATGCCATCAAGTATCCAACTCCAACTTCCATTCCAATTCCAATTCCAGTTCCACTTCCAACTCCAATCCATTATTTCTTTCTCTTTGATTGATTTTTCTAGTAACTCTTTTTCAGATTTTGATTTTTTTAAAATGTTTTTATTTTTAAAATTTTTTCAAACACTGCGCCACTAAATTTTGCAAAAATAATTGAAAATTGCTTTCTGTCTCAATAAATGAAAGCATAACATAACCATGAATAATTAAAATGAAAATGCATTAAATAAACAGACAAACAAAATATTTTGTATAAGAGATAAAATCATAAGATAAAGATTCTAAAGATAATGACAACGATATTAAACAATTTCAGCATTTCAGATGCAAATTTGTATTTTTGTTAAAGTTTTATCACCACGAATGTGATCGTATTCGGAGCCCAAAAAAATTAATTAACAATTAACAAAAGGCTGAGATCATTTATTGGCAAATATAAACATTGGTAGTATAGAATCTTCAGAGATGCTTTTCAAAATTTCATTGTATTTAGAAGAATATAAATGGAGTGCTTGAGCCTTAAGTAGAAGAATGTTTATTGGCAGAATCGCTAGAAAATAAATATCGATCAAATATTTAATCTTAAGTTGTGTTAAATAAAAGAATAGTTAATGTTAAGTTTTGTTTGATCTTAGCAAAACTTTTACCGATATATATAAATTGATGAACCAAGTTTATAGTGTTGATTGTTTACCCCATGTTGAACAATGAGTGATATACACGGTTCAAACTAGTCGGGAAGATATATATTATGAGCAGCATGTTGACTATTTATGGTAAAGATCAACATTAATATATCGCATTTTATTCCAATAATTAGAAAACCAAAAAATGTGTGCCCGATTTGTTCTGCACAAGTTGACTGACGATCAAAAATTACTCTCATCGATCGACAAACTCTTGAGCGTGATTTTACTACCGAAACTCGAATTTAACAGCAAATCATTCATCGTATTTATCTGACTTGGTAGAAGCCATCCAAAATGTTATATCGATTTCTCGATAGCTTGCTAGAAACTATGAGAACGTAACAGGCTTTTACGTTCTGTAACTCCATTAAAAAAGAAATAGAACAAAGTGTAATTCGTTTAGAAAATATAAAAACAATTATAAATTGAAAAATACACGATATACCAGAACAATGTAGCATATGTATTGAAACCTTAATTGGGTGTAAATTCTAACTCGCCACCTATAAAAAGTTGCTACTTCATAAATCAATCTTGAAATTCTTAGGAACGTACGATATACTAAAGTATTGAATTTTAATGTGGCGCAAGAATATGCAAAGGCCCACAAAGATCGACTAACACATCATGTTAGCAGCGATGGTTCCGTTCTTCATCAAAGGTGTACCAAACAGCGATGGGGCTAAATAATACAACTGATTCAGATTGACTATATTTTTATCTAGATATATATAGTGTATACAAATTCTTATTCTTTCATAATTATTTTAATATGACACATATCGTATTTTATCACATTTGTTTTTACAAATATTTATTTATGTGTGAGACAAATAAATCTAAA